GAGCATTATGCTAAGCGAAATAGGCCAGTCAGAGAAAGATAAATATCACATGATCTCACTCATTTGTGGAATATAATGAACAACATAAACTGATGAACAAAAACATCTATCAGACTGTCAAAGAGACAGAGAAGCATCTATCAGACTGCCAAACCTCAGAGGAGAAGTAGGGGAGGGTGGGGGTAAAGAGGAGAGAGCAACCTAAGGACTTGTATGCATGCATATAAGCCTAACCAATGGACACAGACCCCAGGGAGGTGAGGACATGAGAGGGGGTAGGAAAGGAAAGGGAGACAATGGGGGGATAAGGACACATATGTAACTCCTTAATCAATAAAGAAGAAAAAACAAAAAGAAAAGCTTTATCTGTGTAGGTTTATGATATCATTTCCATTAGGTTTTGAAAAATAATGCACTATTCTGGGGGCCTGAGTTTGAGAGCTGCTTCTTTTAGCTCTGCGTCATGGGCCATCTGAATGATGACTCCATTGGCCAACCATTTCCAGTATTTCCTTCTCAGTATCCCTCACTCCAACCCCAACACCATTAAAAACAAACAAAACAAAACCCACACACCCCTTCCTGAAATCACAACATTTGATCACACTACTTAACATTTGCCAGCAGAGTTCATCAAACAAGTATCAGCCAGACACTGGGCCAGTTGGATCACTTACTCTGTGGTAGGGCTGTGCTGAGCCCCCAATTTCCACCATCTCGGGGCTAGTGTGGTGGGTGGGTATCAATGTGTACATTTTACAGACAAAGGAGTCTGGGAATTCAGAGAGGTTAAGCGATTCACCTAAAGACAAACCAGCAGGAAGGGATGAAGCCAGAATTCAAACCAAAGTCCCTCCTTTGCAGCCTCCAAATAAAAGAAAAACCTGAAATATGGCAAGGTGGAAAGGGACTACACACTATCTCATCTGACATACAGATGGCTGAATTTTGTGTTCTTTAATGTACCTTCTTAGAAGAAATCTGTTGTCTGTATTTTTGAACCTTACTACCCATTGGGGAAAAAACACACAACAAAAACAAAGCAAAAACCATGTGAAAAGAAGGTGGAATCCTCTGTTAGAACCAGTGTCCAATTTTTCACTCAGAAAACAAGGTAATGTGAGACGATGTGAAGCTATTTCTCCCCTTTGAGACTCCAATTCTTGGAAAATGTTCTGGGAATAAGTACAATCACAGCAGCCCTGCCGACAGCACCTGTGGGCAGAGCAGCTAAGATGGCCCTGACGGTTTCGTCAAACAGGGTGGAAGGGGGATGGACATTGCTACTGAACACATCGGGGGACTGTACATCTTTATAACTGCTGAAATAAGGTGTCTCCACCTGAATGCTTTGCTCATGCAAACATTTTACATCTTAAAAGCACCCCTGAGTGGGCCAGACATAATACAAATTCCTTGACACTGGGTTCCAACAGCTCTATTCCAAGGAAGTTCAGTGGGCCTTCCTACTTTCCCCCCATAATCTAAACAAATGAATAAAAAGATAATATTCTCGCCTTTAAATGACCCAGGAGCCAAGAGAATAAAAGACCATCAGGGGGGACGTTTGCCCATCTGAGGACCTGCGCAGGAAGTGAATAATCAGATGGAACACTCACTAAGATTACAGCGAATTTTCCCACTTTTCCCTTTCGGAGACAATGTCAAGTGCTGAAATGTGTCACATACCAAGTTTGAAATATAATGTAAAAAAAAAAAAACACCAAAAAACTGCCACAAAACGTTGGCCAATGCCAAAAACCTATGTTTGAATGTGAGTGGGTGTGTTCATAAAATGTATCTACGAGGTCTGGTAAGGACAGCTCCCAATTAGAAGACATTTATATTTTCAGAAGCTGCCTTCCAGCAGCCGAGGCAAGATTCACATCTTCCCAAGTGCCACTGCCCGAACTGAGACAATATGTCTCCAATGAAAACCTCTCCGGCAGAAAGGATCTTTGGTCTGAAACTGTCCTGACAGTAGCAATCCCAATCCAAGGTGACCTAAGAAACGTCCCGTGGTTTTTGTGGTTAGTTTTGTTTTTCCAACTTACAGAATGCAATTATTCCTGAAGCAATCACCTATTTTCCTCCAAAATAAGTTAAACCTTCATACAATGACTATGACAGGGAAAATCTCTAGTGGCCCATTTATCTAAGCACTGTTGTTTGTATTAAACTTCCAGCATAAGGAAAGATAAGGAGTAGTTTTCTAAGGTAAGGGGTGGGGGGTAAGGAGTAGGTTTTGCCCTGTTTGCTTCAATATTTGAGAGTTCTGTTCCTGCTCCCGGGAGGCACCATGGAGACAGACATCCGGGCGTTTCTCCAGGACAGCTGGACCGGCTGATCTGTCCCGGGTCACGCACAGACAGTGGACAGAGGAAATGGTGCTAAATCTATGAGAATGATCTAACTCACTCCGAACTAATCGGAGGGAACAGAACTCACAGAGTGGAGTCGGAAGATATGTCTAATGTCATTCTAGCGCCACCGTATCCTGATTTCTTGTGTGTTATGTTAACTGACTTCAAACGGGAGGAAGTGAACCGTGGGTGTTGACAGGTCATGCAAGCCAACAGAGAAAGGTGGCGAGGGGGGGTGTGTGTGTGTGGGAGAACCGCCCTACTGCATGTGACAGCTCTGGTTCCCGGCCTAAGGCAGCAATTAGCGGACCTGACAAGTGTCATTCGGGAAATGGTGAGGAGAGTGGGGGTGGGGGGCAAACTTTGTCACATAGGCAAAGCTGACCCTGACTGTGCATCAGGGTTCTAAGGCTGGGGGTGGGGTGTGTGTGTGTGTGTGTGTGTGTGTGTGTAACAGATAAAGTTAAGGACACTCACAGCTAAAGAAAAGCATCTCTCAACCCTGCTTCTCCCATCTCAACCCAGAGATATCTGATCCCTAATTCATTTGAGGCGAGGACGGGTAACTACCACCTGAGTGAGAACCTACTACGTGTCTGGCACGGCGAGTCTTCTCTCCCACCACGGACCGCCAGGATCCCTGATGAGGGGAGGGACGCTCCTTCCGGGGTGGGTGATCCTGCTTTGCTCTCGCCACTCCTGCCACCCACACCGCTTCAGGCTCTGAGCCACAGTGAGGCTCAGAAGATCAAGGGGACCAGTCGCAGCAGCCTTTTTAACTTTGGGAAAACCCAATGCTCACTTCACTCGCACGTTGCAAAGTGGTGCCATGACCCTTTAGCTCTTGGCTCGCCAATTCAAAGCGCCACATCACATACAGCCCTGATGCTGCCCACCGAGATGATTCTGTATCTAGTTCCTTTCCAGGTTCCCTCAAGCGGAAGACAGCTCTGTCAGGGAGTCGTCTGGCCAAGATTACTATGGCATTTAGCTTCTGTCCCTTCTTTTCCGGCGCCTTACTGTGGAATAAGGCGCACCGGTCTCAGAGATCGAGTCCTTCGGTGTAGGCTGGACTTGAGACCTGTATTCTAAAGGAAGCTGCAGGAACTCGGGTGCGCTCCCACCTAGCCCAAGTTTCCCCACCTCAAAGATGAAGAAACTGAGGTTCGAAGATAGTACAGCAGAGTCCATTTCTCAGAGAGCAGTGGGAGGCCAGGCACAGCCTTCACTCCAACGCCATGCTTCCAGCCATGCTCATTTTACGGAGCACCTAACTGGGTGAGACATGGGCAAATCTAAGAGACCAGATTCCATTCCCTTAACTACGGGTGTGACTCTTTATACACAGTCACACTTCCTCTCTGGGCATTAGTTTTCCCGCTTGTTAAATGGTGCGAGAGGGTGTTGTGTGGGTGACTCCTAAAGTGCTTTTCAGGTCTGAAGCTATCATAAAGCCCAAGGCTATAATTACGTATCGGTGTATGTGGGTATATACGCATACACACATACATACACATATAGGGGATAGATCCTCCCTTCCTCCAGTGGATGGATAGAGGTAAACCCCACCTGCGGCCAGACAGTCCTGAGCTCTGAACCACCAATCAGCACCTGCCAAATACCCTAAGCCCCCCGCCCCCCCTTCCCTAAGTCCCTAGGTCCCTAATCACCAATCAGAGTGTGCTCAGTGCCCTAAGCCCCGCTCCCTATCCTTAAAGGTGCTTGTACCCCGGCCCTCGCTCTCTTCTGCCTCCCCTCTCTCTGAAAGCAGCTGGCAGAGCTACTCTTCTCTTCAATAAAGCCTGTGTCCTGCCATCCTGGTCTCCAGCCTTCTCTATTTCATCTATCCATACGCATAGGATATGCTACAATTAAGTGCCATTTTCAACCACACATTTTTTGCCTAACCTCCCCCGCCCTCTTTCCCCCAGTGACTGTGTTTTCCTAGTTCTGAGCCAGGTCTGATGCGCCCCATCAGCGCAGGTCCTTAGAACCCCAGGTGCGTGGCCAGTGTCCCTGGGGCTTCTCTCCAAACACCAAGTGCGGAGCGAGCGCGAGAAGGAAGAGGGAAGGCATGCACTTTCCATGAATATTCAGCGTCACTAAGTCCCTTGGAGGAAACAGCAAATCTGTGGCAGGGCCGGGCTGCTGCGGGGAACAGAACACACCTCAGGAAGCACAAGTTAAAAGGTGACAGACTATGGCTGCCTGAACCTGGGGTCTCCCCACCCCGCCCTCCGGCAATGCCCGGGGCGGGCAGCGCATGGCTTTGCCGTGGAACAAGGCTGGCTCCACGCCCAGTCCCCCTCCCCCCCCAACACGTCTGCGGGCAGCACCCAGCTTCTCCCCGCTTGGCACAAGCCCACGTGGGCAAACTCTGCAAACGTGCGGGACAGGGCCTGTGGCGGCGGGAACTTGGCTCCTGTGTCCTCCATCACGTGGCTGGCCCAGCGGGGATCAAACCAGCGGCCCGCCCGCCACTGGACCTCCCCTAGATAACCCGCCCCCCCACCCCCCCTCCACCTGAGCGGCCGGCGCTAGGACCCCGCGCGCCGCGCGCACTTCCTCCCGCCGCGGTCCGAGCTCCGGCCGGGCGCCCCCACCCCGCTCCGGCCGCCCGGCCGCCCGGCCGCCTACCTGGCGAAGCAGTGCTCGCAGTGGTTGCCCCGCTCGTTGGCCGTGAGCACGCAGGCGTAGGCCGGGCAGGAGAAGAGCAGGTCCCCCACCTGGAAGGGCCGCAGGGCGCGCAGCCCCCGGCCCTTGCCCGGGCTGCCGAAGCGCTCCAGGCCGTCGCCCCCCTCAGCCCGCATGGTGGCGGCGGCGGCGGCGGCGGGAGGGCGGCGCGGCGCCGGCCGAGCCCGAGCGGTGCTCCCCGCGCGCTGTTATTGGAGAAGCGTCACCCCGAGCCGAGCCGCGGGGGGCGGGGTGGGGAGCCGCCCCGGCGGACGCGGTCTCCCCGGAAGGGAAGACGGCCCCGCCCGGCCCCGCGGGGGGTGAGGGCGGGGGTGGGGGAGGGGTGGGGTGGGAGCCGGTCCCGCGGCCCCGCCCCGAGCGCGGGACCCTCGGCCCACGCCGCCTCCCGGGCCGCTTCCGGTGCGGCCGCCACAAAGGCTGCAGCCCCGGCGGCTCCTCCGGGAAGGAGGCGGGAGACGGACGCCTGCGCCTCCGCCGCGTCTCCACGGAGCGCGGGACGCGGTTCCCGGCTGCGGGGCGGGACGGTCGCCTGCCTGCCTGCGGGGACCCGTCCCGAGGCCTCCCCCCTGGACAGTCAGCCGGGCCCCAGGAGGACCCGCCCTGGGTAATTGCAAGGGGGCAGAGGTGTCTCTCAGCCTGGCGTGCTCCTGTCCTAAAGAAGCCGCCACCGGGGAACAGGGCAGAGACACTGCAGTTAGGAAAGTTGAATGTGCTAAGGGTTAGAGGTTTCTAACCTTGTGAGGCTTCACTTCCTCTAGGGTCGCTCTGAGGGTAGACTTGGTGTGGACTTAGTTTCCCCCTCTGCTGCCCCTCTACAGGGGGTTTAGCTGCAGGGCCCTAAGGGAAAGGCGGGGGTGTGCAGGCTGACAGAGGAGACTGCAGATGTTGAATAAGCAGCAGAGTTGAAGGCTCTTGTTGGGGGCAATGCCAGGCTGAGGCCAGAGCCCTGAGCTGGAGTTTGCAGTGGTTTTCAGTCATCTTAGAAAAGTCAGGTCAATATCCAAAACATGTACAACAGTGCTAAGTAGCTTTAGTCCCGTGCACATGCGTGCTGTTGGTGTGTTACGATGAGAAAGAAGGATGCAATCTGTGCACATAGGATTATTATGTAAAGGCCGAAGCTGACGTGCATACAGTAAAGATGAAAAGGGTGAAGAGTTTAGCGGAAAAGACCGATGCTTAACACTCAGGTTTGTTCTCAAACTATGTTACCCCCAGTCAAGGATTACTTTAGCAAAATGTGGTTTGGAATATGCCATGAGATCAGTAGACTTTTTGACACTTATTAAATTCCTAAAATGACTAACCTCTAGCTTCCCCACAAAGAAAAATACATCAGGAATGCCATTTCACTCATGCATCTTAAGAACTGTTCACTGAGAGCACCCACCATGGGCCAGATAGAAAGATAGACAAAGTATAGCTCTTTGCATTCAGCACATTCACAATCCAATAACGATTACTGTTCGCTCTGGAGAATTATGGGCCAGGCATCAAACTAAGTGCATTAATCGCGATATTTCATTTGATCCGTGGTTACAACAGTGAGTGAGGTGTTTATAGCTCCCATTTCCAAAATTGGGCAACTGAGAGTCAGAATCATGTCCAAGACCACACATGTCAGTTGCAGAATTTCAACCTCAGTCTGAAACAGAGGCCCATACTCCTAATGTGTCTCTCCCGGAGCAAACAAACACAGCTCACTTCATGTTGATGTTACGGTGGCCTGGACAATGTGTTCTGTGAAAATTCAGGCCGTGAGGGACACACTCAGCCGGAAGAGTGAGGAAGGTGCCACGCTCAAGGGACATTTGAGCTGAGCCTAAAGGATGGATGGGGCTTTGCTAGTACAGGAGCCGAGAACAGTTTTCCAGGCAGAGAGAACCATGTGCAAAGACAGGGACCTCAAAGAACAGGGTAGTTGGGCCCCCTGAGTAGTTCTGAGCGGAGTGTGAGTGAGTGCTCAAGGAGAAGACAGCTGATGAGGCGGCAGCAACAGGGCAAGTTTTGTCGCAGACATGGGGTGGGAGCCCCTGGAAGTGTTCCAGCAGAGAGGGGGTGCTACAATCAGTGTTCTAGACTCAGTTCTACTGGCAGTCTCGCAGGTAGATTGAAAGGGGACAGGACTGAACACGGGACCGCCGGATCAGGGAGCATTTGCAGTATTTTCATTGAGAGGGGAAGAAAGCCCGAAGGAGGCATTGGGGAAAGAAGCAAAGGTGTTTGAGGATCATTCCAACTTCTTCTTGGGCATCAGGTGTCTCTTCCACGTGGGGGAGATACGTGGCAAGCAGATAACAGCTAGTGTCGACTTTCTTCCTAGCTGTAGCCTGATCGGTTTTACAGGCTGAAGGCAGGAACCATAAATATCCTAGAATGTGGGGACCAAAAGCGGCATTTTCTTGCTGACAAGGAAAGTAAGGGCCTGTGAAGTTAATGAGTTGCCTGTGTAACCCCGGGACAGGCGGAGCCAGCATGGAAGCCCACCACATGTGCGTTTAATATTTAAATATTCATTACATGCTTACTGTGTTCCAAGCAACAGAGATATGGGCTGCTGATAGAATGGTAACGAAAGCTGACTCATTCCCTGCCCTGGCAGAGCTCTGTACAGAATTCTGGTGGAGGAAGCAGACTTGGGTCACATAATCACACAAATATGAACAGTCAGTTGGTCTCAAGGTCTTAGGGGAATCTAACCTAGTCTAGGGAAGTTTTTTTTGGAGACAGTGATGCCTGCACTAAATCCAAAGGATGGATAGAATTTAATCAAGAGAAGAGGTGGAGGGACGTACATTCAAACAGAGGGAACAGCATGTGCAAAGTTCCATTTGTCTGAAAGACGTGATTGGAGCAGAGCTAGATGGAGAGTGTTGTTCCAGGTTATTTTAGGGGGTAAGTAGCATTAGCTGGACAGGAGTCAGGCAAGCCTCTGACAGGTGCCAGGCTACTACGTTAGATAAACTTTATGCCACACACTAAGTTGATTTTGGCAATTGTGTTTTGTTACAGACTAGAGGCCCAGGTAGGGTCCCTAGGCCTGACCAATGATCAGGGCCAATCGGGGCCTTCCAGCTGCCAGCCAGGGCTTTCCTTCTCTGGCTGTGGGCTTCCCAGGCCTGCCTTAGTTCTGCACCGCCCACTGGTGGTCAGTGCACATCATAGCAAGTGATTGAACTGATCTCCCAGTCAGACTCCCAAGGGGATCCCTTGCATATTAGTGTGTGTATGTATATGTATATGTGTATGTGTGTGTGTGTGTGTGTGTGTGTGTGTGTGTGTATATATATATATATATATATATATATATATATATATATATATATATATATATGTTAATGAAAGAAATTTCTCAAACCCTACAAGTTTTTGAGTTACATGTCCACATAGGCAGCCCTTGGATAAATTTTGTGGCTGTATATCTTTTAACTCTGATTTCTGAGAGCTTTAAGCAGAACAAAGAAGAAAAGATGGCGTGGAAGTAAACACACAGTTATAAACAGTAAACAGTTTACAGTCTCAAGAATTGTGCAAAGTAATCTATTGTTTGCATTTTAATTGTATGCAATTTTTTTTCTGCTCTCATTGAGAAAAACATTAGCATAGCTGCTGAGTTGTCTTCCGAGGCAGGTGGCAGCTAAGGCAGACTTGTTCTTGTGGTGAAGGTGACCGATTTAGGGACACGGGAAAAGGAGCAGTCTCCTTTCAGAAACACGCCTGTGCTGAGCACAGAGCGACTCGAGATGGAAAAATAGTCAAGCAACAGCCATGAATTGAGGCACTTAAAGTACAAAGAAAACTGTTTACAGTGAATGGCCAAGGAATGGCAACAGACCAGCCTGGGCAAACCGATGACAGCACTCTTAATGCAATCCATACTTGTCACTCTCACTCGGAATTCTCACATTCCGTGAAAGTCACCTTCCAGCTGCCGGGTCCCCTCCACCTCTTCTTCCACTTGCTCTGCCCACAGTTTGGAAGGAATGCAGTGAGTTCTCCATTACTTCTCCTCGCTGTAGCTCACTAGAAGCGAGACAAAGATGAAGACCCCCTTTGCTTACTATCTCTAACCTAGAAATTGATCTAAGTAATGAGGGAAATTTCCTTCCAATCACAACTTGGCAGGTGAAGGAAATAGCTCTGGCCTAGGGAAATCAAGCCTTAGCTAAGAGGGAATACGGATGAACGTGGGCAATGGACTGGTACCGTATACTGGCACACCTCTGTGTGTATTCCAGTTATTGATTATGCATCATGTGTCTACACCGAGATAGATCCTTGTCATACAAAGGTGAAGAGACCAATGTACATGTAAAGAGCTATTCAGTGGCTGAAGGATGGCATCTGAGGATATTGGAACCCGTAAACATTATCTTATATCCATGGTCTGCAAACTGCGGCTCTCAAGCCACATGCGACTCTTTGGTCCCTTGAGTGTGGCTCTTCCACAAAATACGATGAGTCTATTTTGAAGAAGTAGCACTAGAAGAAGTTTAAGTTTAAAAAATGTGGCTCTCAAAAGAAATTTCAGTCATTGTACTGTTGATATTTGGCTCTGTTGACTAATGAGTTTGCTGATATGGTTACCTTAGATGTGTTCAGTTAAAGACCTTGAGGTGCCATAAGTGTCTTGGATTATCAGGTTGGCCCTCAATGCAAGCAAATGAGTCTTTATAAGAGATTGGACAGTCAGATAAGGAGGCAACAATGTTACCGCAGAGGCGAGGTTAGAGCAGAGGTTAGAGCAGTGTTGCTACCAACCCAGCAATGCAAGGACCACCAGAGACAAGGAACAGATGTTTCCCCGAAGAGCCTCTGGGGTCAGTGTGGCCCTGCAACTCCTTGATTCCAGCCCAGGGATACTGATTTCAGACTTCCTGCTTCCAGCGTCAGGAGTGAATACATTTCTGTTGTTTAAGCCACCTGATCTGTGGTAATCTGTCACAGCAGCCACAGGAAACTAATACAAATGATAACCATCAGAGTTTTAATAGGGGAACGAACAAAGTGTGGTAGAAGGGCTTCACAGAAGACCTGATATTTTTAGCTCCTTCCAGAAGGAAAATTAAGGATTGACCATGAAAAAGAGTCTGTGCCCCTTACCCTTACCCCAAAA